CGGTGCCAACTGCAGTCTACGGGCACGCTCCAAGCACGGGCAAGGCGGCGGTTGGGTTGAGGACCTCTTTCCAGCGAGCGTCGGCAACGTTGCAACGAGCTCGTGCAGCGCTGAGGGCGGGCCAGCAGCACCAAGCTCGGACTGGAGGGGGGGCGCCAAAAAGTTGCAGCGAGCGCATGCTGCACGGCAACCGAGATGAGGCCACTCCATCGAGGAACCCATGCGGCTTCGGCCGAAGCGGCAGTGTTCAGGTAAGGATGCGGAAACAGGTGGCAGCCTCCTCGGCCCAGCGACAGGGCTCTTGCCCGATGAGCACCCTGTTCCCCACCTCCTTCGTGCTAGGGTGACAGTGCCCTATAGTGTTTTGGCTTACCTGTTGTTGCAATTGATGCGACGATGCCAACGTCTCCATTTATCATGGGCCTTTAGACATCCAGTGATATCCAGTGTATATGTGAGGTACTCCACTCCACGCTCATCATCTGCATTAACAGCTCCCAAGATCGCTGCCTTTGTTATCGGCTTTGTTCCAGGGTTGCGCCTCCGTGCTGTTTGTTGCCACAGTAGTGTGTATGTCTATGTACTGCGCCTGATTGGTGGCGTGCTTGCTCTCGGTGCTGGAACGGTGTTCCCTCGGCACATGGCGCACGCCTTTAAGCTGCCTTGTGTGCGCCCTCTGTGCATGGAGCCTCGCTGCCTCGGCACTGGCCGCACGGTTCGCCCCCTTGCAACTTTTTGCGTCTCTGCTGCCGGTTACTCGGTAGTGTGCTCTTTGGCGCATGCGCACATAAATTTTATCGGTTGGTGACGTTTTTTTTTTTTTTTTTTTTGGGCCTCCTGCTTGCTTTATCCTTGATCAAAGACTATGCCTCTCCGATTCTTGGGTTTGAAACATATACTTTAGTATTCCAAACAATAACCTGTCTGCACTAGCTAGTTTTTTTTACACACTCGAACCTTGGGACGGAGAAGGGCGATGACGCAAGCCGCCCTGAGATGTTGAGAGGGACGGGAGGCAGGCCGCACCGTAGGTGCTGGTCGACACGCGCACACACGCACTCACTCACTCACGTTGCGCCCGACAGCTTCACAAGCAGGAACCATAGGAACGCTGCATGTGCATCATGGAATCCGTGCGCGTGCGTTGGATAGTTCCCGTCGCGGCACGCCTGAAATACTTCCGCGGGCTTGGTGCCCGTTCGATACCTCTGCGTGCCGTTGTCTGGGCGGTGTACTTCGTGGAGTACCCCCACAAATTGGATCCCCCCGACCCCCGTCTCCGCAGGTTGTACCTCTCGCGCGAGTTAACGACCTTCACAAGTACCCTACTCTTTCAGTGCCTCCCCACAAGTTAGCTGTGGGGGAATTTATTTCGGAACCAGCGGCAATCCTTTCGAACGCGTTGGATACCTCCCCACCCACCCCCCCCACATGCCCCCCACCCTGTCGTCCACATGTTAGTAGTAGCTTGAGAAAGACGGCGGATGCGGATGCACCCACCTTGTGGGTTGGCCTTCTCCGCGATGTGGCATGCTGTTGCCACTTTCCATAACTTTTCTTGGGTTACTTGCGCCGGTACCTCCCACAAAAACCCTGCAAGAGGGAATCGTTTCGTGCGCATTGGAGGAACCTTCCCACCCACCCCCACCCCCTCGCGAGTTACTTGCGCGGGTACTTTTGGAGGCATCGCGCAAGACCAAGGAAAAAGACAAAAAGACGGAATCTTTTGCGAACGTTGGAAACCGTCTGACGCACCCCCAACCCTCCGCTCAGGTAGGTACCTGCACGAAAGGGATAGAGGATGTCTGGGGTACAACCTGCGGAAACCCTGACCTTTTGATGGTGTTGTTTCGTCGCTGTCTGTCGATGAAAGATTGGAGCATGCTGAGGTCACGGGCCTTTTGATCGCAGCTGCTGCCCAAGAAATCCTGGTCGGTTCCTTTCTCAATGGAGAATTGCTAGCTTCTGTTGTACATGCTCAGGCGCCCATTGGTGCCTTGGGTGGTCTGGCCGCATCCCGATGTGCAGCGCGTTGGTGTCGATGAGGCCGCTTCCTTGTCTTCTGCTTGGCTGGATGGATGTGCTAGGGGTCGCTTGTCATGGTGCCGTGGAGGTAGCCTGCCGAGCAATGCCCGAGCAGTTTGGATGGCGCGGACTCGCGCCGGTAGTCAAGTTAGTGCCGTACAGGGCTGAATGTTGAGCTCTAACCGAGGGCTTCTTAGCTTCTGGCGAAAAACAGGGCAGCGTCGACATGAACAGATGTTGCAGACAGTAGCATCACATCCATGCGAATTGGCATTGAGCTGAATGTGTTGCAGTCGTTTGTGGGGCAGTCCCCCGCATTCCCCTCAACGAAGCGGTGCTTTCCGATGCCATGGTGCATGTTCATCGCTTACAGTGGTTGCTGCCGTTGTTGTTTGCATGAGCGCTGTTAAGTGTCTTGCGACGTGTGCAACCAGTGGGAATGAACAGCAAGCGCACAGAAAAGCTCGCCCATAATTTGCAGCTGGCATGTCAAAACTGAGGTTGGAAGGCAGGTGTTGGTGGGGCTGCTGCTGCCGTTGTTGGTGAGCTCTTCTCACCACGAAAGGCACGCCCGACATTCGCACCACCACGCATCGCACACGCGAGCCAATCACGAAGACCACCACCAGCGGCCCGGCAGATTTTGGCAGAATTTTGAAATTTCATTGAGTATAGCAGTCCTAGCGAAGGGACGCCCCTAGATCAGGTCGAAGCTTCAGAACCTGCAGAAGACAGTCATAAAGGACGAAGTCAAAGAGACAGAGCTTCAACTTGAAGAAACCCGTGATCGGGAAGCAATACACATTACAGAAGAAGAAGTTGGCCGAGTTGGGCGAGATTTGGGTATGCTGCGATCGCAGCAGAAGCACGGAAAACTCAAGCCGAGCAAAGATGATCCGAAGGCCAGGTTTTCGTGTGTTGGAGGGTTTTGCTTCGGTACTCCTACGCAGTCTGCTTGTGCGCTGCAACTGCATACCTACAGCAAGCCGTGTAGTGCCAAACGACCGAAAGACAGATGTTCTGGACGGGACCTTCCGAATGTCCCGCATGCTCCTCACTGCGCGGCGGGCTGCGTGCTTGGCACATCATTGGCGGGCGTGGCTGTGTGGTGTCAGGGGGTCGGGTCAGTGCAAAAGCAGGAGGAAGTGGCACCTCATGCTTCGTGCTGTTGTTCGAGCTCCAAGCATGTTTTGCAGTCTTTTTCCACGAGAACTCTGAGGCTCAGTATGCCAACTTGTCCAAGTGCGCATCCCCCACTCAGCATTTCGCATCATCTTTTGCAGGCTGTTTTTTTGCCCATGTCATGGTGGTGCTCCGGGGCTTTTGCAAAATCCCAGTGTCATGTTTTTCAAGGGGGGCTCAATCCTTGAACCGTTCCAGCACTTGGGACCCATGCTGGTATGGACTGCCATGTCAATGTCGTTGCCGCAGGCAGGGGAAGCCAACCTCAGAGAGCTCAAGAGCGAGATGAAACAGCTTCAAAAGGGCCTGAACTATGCGCCTCTTGGCAGGTACATCCTTGGGCAGGGCACATGTAACGACTCAGTCTGACTCTGGTTGCGTTTAAACGCAACTGCGGCACAAGGAAAGAGTACGTAAGCGATTCCGAAGCCCAGCGAAAGAAGCTCAAAGCAGAGATTGCGAATTCGACACTGCCGGAGGTGGGTTGTGAGTGCAAGTTGCCCATGCTTGGGAAGTTCTGTGGTGATTGCAGTGCAGGAGCTCAAGGACGCCAAATACAAGTACGAGCAGCTCCAAGAGCACGTGACCAAGGACGTGTGCATCAGTTTCAATTCTCGGGCAATGCACGGGTCCTGCGAGCGGATCCTCCACAGTGCAGCAACTTCGAAGAGGGGTACAACTTTCGGGAGTGTGCGATGAACTTCGGGAGGGTACTTTGGAGCATCCAGAGCTGTGGTCGCTTTCGCCTGGCAGGCGACGATGAAAGAAAATGTCGCCTGGAAAGACACCATGAAGCGGGAGGTTGAGCTTGGAGAAGCCAAGGAGCAATACAGCGAGAACTTGAAACGGTTGGAGACTGACGCGAACATGTGGTCTGCATGCATGCGCCGATGTGCAACACAAAGAGATTGAGGCTAGCAGCGGAGGAGGCAGAGCTGCGCAGTGCTTCAGCCAAACTCCGGCAGCTTAAGGCACATCCTGCTCAAAGCTTCTAAGGCAACCCAGACGACAGCCCAATTGTGTTACATGTGTTACGTGCTTAGTCTTCGGATAGATGCGGACTGCAAGAAGTTTCTTCGCTTGTGTGATCTCTGGGGCTTTTGTGGCGGCTGAAGTGCAGAGGCGTGTGAGGTAATCACCGAAACTGATCTCTGAGGGGCATGATTCTGTTGCTTGGGGCCTGAGCTCAATAGCGACCTGCTTTTTCCGATGACAATTAGCGTTAGGCTGGTGATGAGTCGACGACGAAGCAGCCAGCAGAGGTCACCTGGTTGCCTTGCCGGGTGACGAGTTTGGTCGCCTTCTTTCGCAGTTCGCCATGCAACCAGAAGGAACAGGAGCCTGCTTCAGAGAGAAGCGGCTTGCCTTCGAGGCGGACGCATAGACTCTTAATGTGTGTTCAGAAGGGCTGTCGGCTGTCATGGAAGGCATGCTGGGTGGTTCGCAGCTTCTGTGGCACTGAGCCTCGTTTGCGTGTAAGGTGTCTCACAAAAGAGGGCTTGATCAGCAGCAAAGCATCTGCAAAATCTGTGTGGCTGTGCGCCTCCTTGCCGTCTTCAATGCATATCCTGGTGCTTCAGATTTCGCACGCGATTTCTGCGCACGTGCGAGTGTCAACACTGGCGTTCCGCCCCTCTCGGCTTGGCAATCGCTGGCTTTTCGGCTTGAGATTCTCCTGTTACACGGCTCAGGGTCGGTGCGGGGCCCGGCCACACATGACTCGGCTTCACCTCCACAGCTGAGCTCTGGCATTTTTTCGCAAGCTCCACAGGCATCAAGTCATCTAGCTGGCGATGGCGGAGAACGTAGGGAGCCTATGCTAACCAGAACGTCGTGTCCGGGGTGGCGGCCCAGGCCGAGAAGCCGGCCGAGAAGCCGGAGGAGAAGACTGAAGAGAAAACGGAAGCGAAGCCGGAAGAGCAGGCGGCAAAAGCTTCGACTCTTCCGCAAGAAGTGCGCATCTTGAGACTGGCTAGGCCAAGTCTGAGGGGGCGCCTGCCGAGAAACGAAAGGTAGCCTTGCTTCTTCTTTGCACAGACGAGCGTGGCCGAGTGCCAAGAGCTTGCAGGAGGGAGGAGCGGAGCCGGATGCCAAACGCCTGAAGCCGACACCCCCCGATCCGGCAGTAGTTCGCAAGCAGGTGCTGGGGCTCGGCTTGTGATTGATTCAGCTTTCGCTTTAATTGCAGCTGGAGCTGGTGTTACGGACTTGGCAGGTTGAGTATTACCTGAGCGACGAGAACCTCAAGTACGACAAGTTCTTCCATGACAAGATTTCAGCGAATGCGGACGGATGGCTCGATGCTCGACTTTGATTCTTCGATGGTCTTGCTCCCTGCCATGACCAGTCCCACCCTGGTCAAGAGGAACTCTGGCAGTTCCAAGCAGCTAGTAGCAGAGGACATGAGCTTCATCCTGAGCTGCAACAAGATGAAGTCTATGCGTGCTGGCAAGGTGGGAGCACGAGTTGGGTTTCTTGAGTGGAACTGCCGAAGGCGATCGCTGACATGCGAGTGCAGCCTCCAATTGCCCGGCCAGGACGACGTGATAGCTGCACTGAAAGAGTCCAAAATTGAGCTCAACGTCAACGAGGCACATCCGAGCTGTAGCCCAGCCCTGCTCAGCTGGCACTTGCGCAGGGCACTGCCGCCGTCCGCAGACCGGGCAATGCGGCGCTGTAAAGGTCTAAGCGTCTGCGGCGATGGCAAAAAGTGGTTTTTCGTGTCAAAAAGAGTGCCCGGATGCGGTCGGCGGTCTGCTCCGAGGCCGAAGCTGGAAGCGAGGCCCCGGCACCCCCCCCCGCCCCGAGAAGTGGAGTGGCTGCTGCAAGCGTGCTCTGTAGTGAGGCCGAGCCATCCCCAGAAGAAGAACTCCATTCACGCGCATGATGGCGTCCTGCCACGCATTGGAGACGACCTGAGAGGGAGGCACTCGCTCCTTCAGCTCGCAAGGTGGAGTCGTGGCGATCTTCCGCAACGTTCCGGAGGAGCAGCAGTGGACACAGGTCAAGGCAGCCGTTCAGGCCGGATGGGTCGGCAGAACGCAGGACCTGCTCCGTGACAGTTCCTTCCGCCAGGAAAAGCTTCCTGCCAAAGTCAACTTGTGGCACGTCAGCCAGGTCAACGACAAGAACGACGCCCGGACTAGATTGAGCGAGACTTTGGATGTCGCAGTGTACTGTTGGCCAGCACGTTGCGAGTCTGTTGCCGAGGAATGCACCTTGGCTTGCGCTCCTTTCGACGGCGACGTGCCCTTCTTCGAAAGCCTCCAAATTGAGCAGCTTTGCAGAAAAGCTGGAGTGAGAAGCGCTGGGTTCGGGAGAAAAACTAGAGTTATATCATAGCTGGTGCATGCACCTGCTGCTTCGGACAGGCTTGCTGGCGCCTCATTGAAATGCGAGGTTTGCTTTGCCGACGTTCTGCAGAAGGCTGGAAACTCACGGCTGGTATGGAAGTTTTGGTCAAGTAACACTCGCATGCAGGCACTGAAGGACATGCCGAAGCACATCAGGGACAAGAGGGTGCGGATGCTCGTCTTCTAGGTCGTGCAGCCAGTGAGTCTCTGCGGCGGCAGGAGAGGGAGTCGCGCAAGAGGCAGAAGGAGCGCAACCGCCCGATCAAGCTGGGCACCTGCCATTTCAACAATGTGGCGATGCTGCGAGGGCGAGTCAAAGAGTCTTGGTGATGTTCGGAGTGCTTCCACAAAGCCCGCAGGCAGAGACATGAGAGAGAGATTCTTCTTCTGCCCCAATAAGGAGATCCTCAACTCGCGCAGCGATGGGGAGCAGCTGAAACCCGACGGAAGCGACTTCAAGCTCATCAAGAGCCTGCTCGAGTTCCATCCCAGTGGAGCAGGAGCGCTACCTCTTGCGCAAGGGGCAGAGCGAGAAAAGTTTCCGAAAATTAGGGCACCTTATTTTGGGGCCCCTAGAACAGGGATCCTAGTATGTAGGGTACTAGATTCGGGTCCCCTATAGTAGGGATCCTAGTATTTAGGGTACTACATTCGGGTCCCCTCTTTTCGGAAACTCTCAATGGACTCTTGACACATCTGTGAGCCCAGGGAAGAGCGCGGGCCTGGTCGGCATCAAGGTCGGCAAGAGCCAGCAGGGCGACAGCCGTTGCTCTTCTGCAAGAAGCTCCTGTGAGTTTGCCCTTGTGAGGCGTGTGGACACATCGCCGATCATCTGGTATATAACTGCTCTCAGAAAGTCAGTGTTTGACGAGAAATTAGGAGATTACAGTTTTCTTTTGCGTGCTTGTTTAGTGTGAGCTGTGTGGTGCTGAAATTCCCTGCGTTGTGGCCCATCTCATCATTGTGCTATCTGTCTTGTTGTTGTCGTTTGTTGTTGCCAACTAAATATTATTGCACCGCAGAAGAATGAATATCTTCCTTAGTAGTCTCAGGACGGCTAGCCCGAGCATGGCGCTTCCGTTACTGCTTGCTTAAAAACTCAGTGTTTGATTTTTGCATTTTATTCTCAGTGTTATGGTTTTTGTTGTCTGCAAATATCTGCACCCTCGAGCCCGCAAATACTGTTTAACTTTCACTTTTGCTGTTGTCATGGAGGAGGTTGCTGCTACAGCGACTACGGCTACGACGACGAAAGCAATAGTACTAGTAACAGCGCTAGTGGCACCAGTACTTGAGCACTAGTTCCAGTACTACTGTCATTTTATTATTATTACTACTACTACTATTACTACTGCTACTACTACTGCTACTACTACTGCTAGTGCGACTTCTACTCCTACTGCCACCACTACCACTGCTGCCACTACTGCTGCTACTGCTCCTCCTACTACTAGCTACTACTGCTGCTACTGCTACTACTGCGACGACTGCTACTACTGCTACTTCTACTGCCACTTCCACAGATACTGCTACTGCTACTGCTGCTGCTGCTGCTGCTGCTGCTGCTGCTACTGCTGCTGTTACTGCTGCTGCTACTGCTGCTACTACTGCTGCTACTACTGCTGCTGCTACTACTCCTCCTACTACTCCTACTCCTTCACACTCCAATGCCGCCACGACGACGGCGACCACTACTACTGCTCCTGCCACTGCTACCACACTGTCACGAGGACGACGACTACAATTACTGCACTGCTGCTACTACCACTGCTGCTGCTTCTGCCACTGCTACTGTTGCTCTTGGTAGAAGTTAGCTTTATGACGAGTAGTTGTCGTCGTAGTCGTCGTCGCAGTATCAGTAGTAGTACCAGAAGGAGTTGTAATAATGGAAGTAGAACCGCCACTGGGACCTCTACGCCCCAGAATCCTTTTCGACGTCGCTACTGCCTGACAATATCAACCGCCCATGCAAGTTCCCAGTTCATGAGCATCGAGGGTATAGGGAGCTCACATGTTAGCCGTGCGCATGTGGACGGTGTTTACAGGCTGCTTTTACATGATCAAGGAGGGCGGCAAGGAGGACAAGTCTTAGTGGACGTGGAACAGTTCAGGGCAGTCCAGTTCTGATGTCGCACACTCCGGCTGCTGCTGTGGGTCATGGGTAGAACGCTTCATCGAGGAACGCGGCGATTTCTTGAGCACTCGTTCTTGAAGTCAGTTTGTGGGACTGGTGCAGGGGACCGCAACTCGGGCCACGTCAACTCGAGGCAAGTGCTTTCCGGCTCCGGTGAACAGGTCCATCATGGACACTGGGCCGTCTGTAAAACTTCTCGAGACGAGACTGGAGATGTCTTCGGCCGCGAAAGTGATCTTGGAAGAAGTGATCGCTTCCCATCGACTACATACCTTTCTCGAGCTGTTTTGCGGCGGCTTTTCAAAACTTGTGGATCATGATGTCTTTTGCTTCCTTGCGTCCGCAGGCTGAGACTTGAGATTGGTAGAGTCCCTGCATGATCACCTTGCTGGAAAGGAGGACTTCAGTGCAAAGAAGTGCCTGGATGCTGTTGAGCAGCACCTTGGCTGAAAGGCGCATGGTACTGTTGGAATTTCGAGGGGGGGTTGATCAAAAGCCGAATTGATTTTGTGTGTGCGTGTGTGTGGACACAGTTGTAAGTTGTAAGCCCACCGGGCCACCCAACTCCTTGGATTGCCGAGCAAGTCACCACGTTAGGATGAGTGTCATCTGTATCGCCTGCATGAGCTGTCTTTCCGCATGACCTTCGCATCAAACCAGCGAACGAGGCTTGACTCCAACAGCCTATAGGCATCAGCAATCGGTGGATACCATGGGCGTGAACGGCCATCTGAAGACTCATTCGGGACTATGTTCTTTCTCAGGCTCTGCCAGTCGAATATATTCACACAGGTCGGAACACTACTTAAGAGTGGCTTGTGCCGGACTCTTTCTGTTCAGTCCCAATTCGAATCAGATAAGGAAGCCTCCTTACGTGCAGCCGGAAGAGAAGTCAGCAGGCATCCTTTGATTCCCGGAGCCACTGATATCTGTGCCTGGGTCAAGCGCGAGCCGGGCGATCCGTAGCTCATGTCACGCGAACACTGGCACGTGTAGCCTGCAGGTGACAAGAGAGGCCAGGCAAAGGCAGCTCCAAAAGGCTCGTCACGACGCGGGGGCACGGCGGCTGTGAGAGCCGGGCTTTCACCTGGCAGGAGCCGCTTCGAAGCCGGAGGCCAAAGAGAAGGAGGACCCCTCGGCTCCTTTTTTTTGGCGGGTTCTTGAGCCGCTTCATCGCGGAAGGAGAAGCCCGCCGAGCCGGCAGACAAGGCCGAAGAGAAAGCAGAGGAGAAGAAGGAAGAAAAGGCAGAAGCCAAGGGGGACAATGCCGAGAAGGTAGAAGAGAAGAAGTCCGAGTAAGCTCATGGAGTGGGTTCTCCGTTGCACTGCCAAAGGCTTCTTGCTGCACTCTGGGGGGTGTAGATGTGGAACGTCCACCCGTCCAAGATAACGCACATCATTGACAGCAGACATCCTCCTAATGCTTGCAGTGGGCAGCCCTTTCATCTATGTTCCACACCCTCCGACCTGGGTTCGCAGCAAGTCGCTGCCATTGTACAGATCACGGCAGGCTCGCTGGCCGAGAGTATGACATCTCACTTGGAATGTCGTAATTCGAGGAAGCCAGGATCTCATCAACATATAAAATACAACTCAGCACGTAACGCAGTCATCGCCAAGCTGAGAATCGCCAAGCTTAAAGGCATGCAGAGAAATTGGCGTTGTCTCGCACAGCAGTCCATGCTGCATGACGGTACTCTTCAGCATCCTAGCTTATTGTCGTTGCAGCGTGGAGCTCGATTTGGAACTTCTTAGCTTCCGCAGAGCGGGACCTTCATCGCAAGACGCCTTTTTCAAGGCGCTGATGTCGCAATGTGTCCGAGCACGGACCTGGAATCCGTGAAAGCACGTGAAGCCAACTGGAACGAATTCACCCATCACTTCAGCGGTCCAGCATGGCCCAACCCTTCAGTCTCCATGGCTTCATTGGCGTGGGCTTCGCTCCATCTACAGCCGAGCTTGTGCAGGACGAAAATCACTAGGTTTCAATGCCATTGCGTCTCTGCACATTGTCAGCTACAGCATGCTGCCGACTTTTACAACATCTCGTTGTCCAGATGGCTCGAAGTCAGTAGGTGGGAGAAGTAATCCAGCAAATGTCAGTCAAGCCAACCGAAGTGCTGTCAGAAGACTGGTTTAGCACAGGCAGAAGTAAATAGAGTGCCCGGCAACCAGTCCGCAACGGTCTGAAACCAGCCGCCGAGAATCGAGGTGATCCGGGACATAGCCGTTGTCTGCAGGAAATGTGGTAGCTGCACCGTCGCTCTGCCTGAATTAGGCGTGTGCTCATATGCAGCCTTCCGCAAAGGTTGGATTCTCGTGCTTGCAAGCGTGTGCCTCTCGAGAAAGATGGACAGCTTTTTTTCGAAGGATGCCGATTGGAGACCAGCTGTGCAGAGCTTAGGCTGACTGAGTCGTGATAGTTAAACCCTGGGCTTCTGCAGTCATTGAAGCAAAACATCAGGTCAGAACTTGTCCCTTTGGCAACTAAGGTCGGAGACAGAGTGTTCGCATGGTTTTATACAGAGCACTGGCCTCGGGTTTGTTGAGTTCGCACAAACCTCCTACATATTGGTTCCGATCTGCCGCTTCTTGCCACGTTTTTGTTGAGGTGGCACACCGCTACAGCCCGCTCCCTGGGACAGTGTGGTGTGCGGTGGAAGTGCCCATGCACAAGCTTGGCCGGAAGGTGCGAAGGCTCTTCGAGCACCATGGGGAAGACAAAGTGCGAAACCCACCGCACCAGTAGCAGTGTGTGTTGACGTAGCAGCGCATGCTACTTGTTGGCAAGCACACTTGCAGGCAGAAGTGCTCTGGGACACAGAGTTTTCCACGAGCCTGCGCCCAAGGAAGACTTTTGCTGCTCATGAGTTCTCGTGCACGCCAAGCTGTTACCCTCTGACCAAAGCAGCCACTGTACAGCATCATTTTCGGTGACACCAAACCTCTTGCAGCAGCGAACACTTGAAAACTTCGTGGTCGCGAGTAACAAGTTTTCACATGCTGCCCAGAGAGCCAGAAAGGCGAGCTGTCGATGACTTGGCTGGCGCCGATTCCTGGCGTGTCGCTTGGGCTGTGATGGCCTGAGCGGTAGACAGGTTGTGGGGCTAGCAAGAGCACGAGAGACACGGAGAGATGTTGATGCCGGTGTACTCCACAATGAGAAGGCAGCCCGGACCGGAGAAAGCTTCTTTCATGACTCAGCCAACTGTGCGGGCTTGCATAAGACAAGACTTGCAGGCAGCAGGCAGCGGAGCTTTCAACAGATATTGGTGGGGCAGGCAAACCGCACCTGCACGAGTTCGCAGAGCAGAGCGGAAACAGACCTTATTACCCCGGAGGTCACGCAGCCTCGGCTGACCAGCCAGGGAGTCAGAGAGTCGCCGTAACGCCACCGATGTCCGTCTTGTGACGCTGCATGGTATGTCGGCCTGAATGCGGCCCAGGTTCCGTCTTGACATGAAGGCCCCCGTGCGCCAGTCATAGATATAGCAGTCGTCCTGGGTGGCTACGACCAGCCCCCTGTAAACCGCAAGTGGGTTGCGCGACGAGCGACGAATGTTGTAGGCAACCTGGAACTTCTGGATTTGCTTGATCGTAACTAGAAAGGTCGGCATTTCCCAGCGCTCCAGTCGCAGAGAAATTTCGAGCTCTGTATGTCACAGCAGGGTGAATGCATTCAGTGCAATGGTGATGGTTATGGCTGTCTGTCTGGCTATGGCTCAGCGCCTTGCAGGCACCGGCGGTGGCGGCTCCCCCCGGCCTTGGAAGCCAGCAGCTCATGCGGCAGACTTGCAAAGCTCGGTCCTACATGGGCCGTGTCTGTCTTGCAGGCACTGCACCTGCTTCGGCAGCCTCTGCCTTGGTCCCAGAGTTTTCTGGTTCTGTAGCTCGCGAATGCTGTTCCATTCGACCCGTAAGGCGAACTTGCCTCCATCAATGCCTCCGCCTCCACCCCCGCCGTTTGGCTGCAGCAGCTTTGCCTGGCCTTCTGCTGTTGGGTGTTGATACAAAGCAAAAAAGCATCCTCCTGAGGGCGCCTTTGTCAATTGCGAGTGCTGCGCTCAGTATGCGGATGGTTTGTGCAAGCGCGAGACGTGTGCTTTTCATATCTTCGTCGTCATGCGCTTGCTGTATCGCTCATGCAGTAGATTTATTTTTCATTGCAACCAGTGACTACTCGCTACTCCAAGTAGCCTGCATCGCGAGGTGTACACCGAACACCTAGAAGAAATCTGAAGATGATGGAATTCTCATGTTCCATGCCTTCGTCGTGCCTGCCAATGTGGTCAATGCTTATGCTGCAGGTCCTTCGCCGGCCATGGTGCCGCCAGATTCAGATGCAAGACACACAGCACCACTGACAGCACCACCCACTTCTGCCCCCAGCTACGCAAACCAAGCTGCACCAGCCGCCCCGACTGCACAAGCTGTGCGGGTTGCTCCCACCGCCGCAACTGCGCCCAGCACGCCGGCGCCAACTGCATCGGCTGCTTGGTTCTTACATAAGAGACCGCGTGGCGAGGCTTCATGAAGCCCTCCAGAGGTCGCAGCTACCAGAAAAACGAAAACTGACACGAGCCACAGTCCAGAGCTCGGCTTTCCTGAGTGGCAGTTGTATGCGTGCAGATCAGCCTCGCAGGTCATAGCTGCCAATGCTGTTGTGGCGGTACCTCTTGCTACGGCTAACAATGAGTAGCAACAGTAGCAGTCAGTAGCAGTAGCAGCAGCACCAATAGTAGTAGCAGTAGTAAGAACTGCTTGCAACAGCAGCAGCTAGTAGTAGTAGTAGTAGTAGTAGTAGTAGTAGTAGTAGTAGTAGTAGTAGTAGAAGTAGTAGTAGTAGTCGTCGTCGTCGTAGCCGCCACAAGTGCTCAAGCGGCCGCGCTGAATGAGAGGTTTCGAACAGGCTTGGGGCGCAACTGCTGTGCTAGAGGTCCCTACCGGGCTCCTTTTCCGAACAGTAAAGGTTTGTGCCTCCTTCTACGCCATGGTCCTCTCCCTTTTCACACAGGAGCTGCTTTGAGCCGCCAGGTCCCAATTCCTGGGCCCAGACTCTGTTTAAAACATTGCAACACTGGGTAGGCGGTAGGGTTTCCACCTCCGCGCGGTGGAGGGAGTCATTAGGCTTCTGTCTCTTGACGAAAGTAGCGGATGGCGCAATTGCCAGTGCACTCACAAAACTTTGCATCTCTTCGTAAGAATTCGTTCAAGACAGCATGTAGAAGGACAGTCCGTAGTGACGGGCCCGTACCATACCGAGGGCAGGTTCTGACACCTACCCTGGTTGATCGTCTGGGGGTGCGCCCCCCACCCACTCGAAGAGAGCTTCAGTCACAGACTGCTGACTCCCCTGCATATGGCACAGCCTCCCGCAGGGCAGGAAGGTTGGAAAGATCCATTCGAGTTCTTTCGTGGAACGCGGGCCACCTAGGCCAACAGCAATGGGGCGAACTCAAAACGTGGCTAGCAGCTGAAGCCTCTCATCACTGCGACATCCTCATATTGCAGGAAACGCACTGGACTGAGACCAGTGAATTCAGCGTTTCTGGGTGGTACTGTATCTCCTCAGCCTCGGAGTCTACCAAACCCAACACCCGGCCTAAACAAGCAGCGAAGCGAAACACTCGGCAAGAACCGCGAGCTCCATCCACGACTCGCGCTGATGGAGTCATGATCCTATTCTCTCCCAAGTTCGTCCCCAAGAGCTTACGCTGGAAGGAGTGGAGCCCGGGTCGGGTCTTAGAAGCTCGTGCAGACATTGCAGGTACTCGGCTGGTTGTCGTCGCGGTGTACCAACACGCTTGGTCTTCTGCCAAGACCATCCAGTCCAATAAGGACGACCGTGCTAAGGTACTATCTGTCATGTCCAAGGTGATCAAGCAGGTGCCTAAGAGGGACTCCCTTATTGTAGCAGGCGATTTTAACACTTCCCTGCGTCCGAGCTCTCCATTGGTGGGAACGCACGTGAAGCCACCCACTGAAGACCGCCCTGACGAATCCAACTTGTTTAATCTGCTGCTCAGGCTGCGTTTGGTTGCCCTTAACACCTGGCAATGTGACCATATAGCTACCTTCTCACAAGGAGGAGTGGAGTCGCAAATTGACTTCATTCTAACCAAAGAATCTACGGCGGGAGGCAAAGCCAAACGGTCAGCCCCATGGGTGGACTGTCCGTTGGGCAGCTGGAAGAAAGGAGGGCATTACCCACTCAAAGCTGACGTACCCCTCCAACACCACTGGCTGCTCCCATCCCACAAGCCCAGCACGCGCCGGTACGATTCACTAGCTCTACAGGCCTCAGTCAGAGAGGAGGACGATACGGCAAAGGCCCTGCACAACTGGATCGCTTCCAGAATTGACACCTGCCAGGACCCCAAGGCATGGAATGCGTTGCTTTTGGAAGGTGCAGAACGCTTTTTCCCAAAAATTCCCAAACGAAGACCGATCCCGCTGGAATCGGAAACCCGTCGCATGTGGTGGGCCCGCACCCATGACAGGGTTGCGAACACCACTCCCTCAGCACAGCTGATCGAGTCACCTAAAGCAATGGCACAGCCTCCTAATCAGAACACGCCACGTCCGCCGGAAACCGAAGCTGAGCTGGCGCAAGTGGCACACCGCCAGGCTGTGAAACAAGCAAAGAAAGATCGAATTGCGAGTTTCATATCGGAGGTGGACGCGAGTCTGGCTGAAGGTGACCAACATATCTCCTTCCAGACCCTCAAAAAGCTGCAGCCTTGGCAGCCTGCGCGCAGAGCTCAGCTAAAGGACAACACAGGACATTTACTAGGTCCAGCGCAGGAGCTAGCAGCCCTCAGGGACTATGCCAATCAGGTATTTGCGGCCCACCCTCCGTTACGGACAATGCATGGAGCTTTCCCTGCTTTGGAGCCGCCCAAACTAGCAGCTCACATACATTCCATCAAGCCTAATAAAGCTGTTCCTGACGGAGCGGCACCTGCGGCTGTATGGAGACTGTGTAGCGACATCGTTGCACCGGTCCTCTCCAAACACGTAGCATCCAAGCAGGCCGAGGACAGTCTAGAATCCGACCTCGTAGACGCTGATCTCTGCTTAATTCCCAAGCCGGGCAAGCCCTCTGACAAACCAGCAAACTTGAGACCCTTGGGCATTCTTAGACCTGACGCTAAGGGACTGGCGGGAGCGGCCAGAGAAGCGCTTCAACCACTGACACTCTCGTTCCTCAAGCACATGCCACAGTTCGCTTATCTACCAGGTCGGGCTGTCAGACGCGCTAGAACGCGTGGTGCATCACTTGCGTGAGGCTCGATCCCTGTTAGAACAGGCCCCCCCCACGAGACATGCCTTGCAACAAGGCACACAGGCCCCAGCCTTAGTCGGCGGCCTCACCTTTGCTCTTGACCTCAGCCAAGCGTTTGACACAGTCTCTCGCCAAGAGATCATCGACCTTCTTCAGAGAGAAGGGGCAGATCAGGACACAGTCCATCTCGTTCAGGCTCTACATGACGGGTCTCGTTATGTCCTTCACGCGCAGGGAGATTCCACCTCTGTTGAAACCACAGCAGGCATTAAACAAGGATGTAAGCTCGCCCCCACACTCTTCTCGTTCCTTACAGGTGACCTTTTCCGCTCTCTGGTTGACCTTTTCGGTGCTGAGCAGGTCTTGAAATTCCTGACAGGATATGCCGATGATCTCACACTCCATCGGACTATCCGCTCTGACAAGGACCTCAGGGCCATTCATGCGCTCATCGCAGCGCTACTTGAGGAGGTCCGCAAACACCGCCTACGAGTCAACATTAGCAAGTGCGTCATCTTGGTGAAGTTAGCGGGTAGAGAATCCCAAAACGTGATGAACAAACACGGCTGCTGGATCATAAACTCCAAGGGCGAGCAGGTTCGCGGATGGCGCATCGGGCCCAATAAATCGTTCCCCGCCTTCCAGTGGGTCTCCCGTAGCAAGTACCTGGGGGTTATGATCTCCTACAACCACTTCGAGCTGCAGTCCTTGCATTACCGCATAGGGGAAGCAAAGCAAAAGCTGCATCAAGTCCGCCAGTTTGTCTACAATCGCCGGTACGCGAGCACCATGTCGAGACTCAAGGTTTGGCAAAGCACAGTCCTGAGCACACTGACGACAGGCCTCTCAGACGTCGGACTCAGCGAGGAGTCGGCAAAGCAGCTACGCAGTTGGCATGCTTACAAGGTGCGATCAGTGCTGAACTTGCCAGCACATACCAGCCGCATCACCACTAAGGATCTCTTCCAGCTTTATAGCATTCAGGACCCAGTTCAAGCGATGCAGGTCAAGCTCAGGAAGAGACTCCGCAAACTTGAGCGACGCGCAGCCAGAAGCCCAGATATCACAACCGAGCCTTCTGTCTTGCAAGTCATCCGGGACAAGCTGTATTTCCTATCACACCTCCCTGATGCAGCTGAACACCCTGTAGCCCTACATGCGTGCACACTCTGCGATGCCTCTTTCGAGACAGCAAACGGGTTACATTTACACAGGTCGCGCGTGCATCCAGCCAGCATTGACCGATTTGTGCCATCAAGCTTCGATCGACAACTCCATGCGGTGGATGGGATGCCGCAATGCGCCGCTTGCATGCGCAAATTTCATCAATGGAAAGGTCTTCGTGACCACTTGTTGTCAGGAGCATGCCCGGAACCTCAGAAGCTTCGAACTCTGAACGCGACTGACAAACACTCAAGTCATCCTGAGGTAAGGACCCTTTCTCAGCTGCGACAGGACATTGCCCAACTCCCACAACATCGAATAGCGGTGCTCTCAAAGACAGCGGAGGCCCGGGTCCTGATCCATCGGTGCCTCACGTGTGACTTCTGGACTTTCGATCACACTAAAGTCAAGTCACACTTCCGTCAGGCGCATCCTAAGGACTGGTCAAGGCTGCACAAGCGCGCAGTCTCTATTTGTCAGGGTTTCTCGCCTCACCTTGCCAAGGGACACCCGTGCTCATTCTGCGGTTACAAGGTCTACGATCGCAGACTGCACCCGGAGCAATGCCCTGTGCTTTATCAGGTTAGCACACAGTGGCTGCGAGGGCAACCGGAGGTGGAGGAAGCTGCTACTGCTCCCCCCTCCAAGCCCCAAGAGAAGTCACTGGCCCACTTCTTTAAGTCACGGTCGAATGGCACAGCCTCCAATCAGTCGAGCACAGCTCGTCAACCCCCGACAGACAAGCAGGAGTCCATTTCGCAGTCCTCTGGACATGCGGCAATGCGACCCGAAGGAGTGCACAAGCGCGCTCTGACTAACACGTCAAACTCGTGTTACGCTAATGCCCTGTTCCAGGCTCTGCATCAGATCTCGAGCTTTGGGTATGATCTAGGTGCTCTCCAGTCCGTCCTGTCCCATCTAGGAGACGAGCGAGCCCCCAGATTACTGAACCTGTTCGGCCTGTTTGAATTTCGCCATGCTATTTCAGGCTGGCGACTGGACGGCAGACAGCATGACGTTTCAGAGCTGCTTCTTCATATGCAGTCCAAGCCTTTAGGCTCCCTTCAACAAACACAGTGGCAGGGTCGTACAGATGGTGCAGTTGAGGATTCAGACGTAGGAGTCAGCCCTCTCCTC